TAAAAAACATCTTGCCCTGTTTATATTAAAGATTTGAGTAGAAAACAACTCTATGCAAACGAAACTCGATTTGTAACAACAACTTTTTAAATCGTTGTTTACCCAAAGTAATTGCTTTTGCAGTGTGGGTCACAATATTCTTTCAGCTGTGCGGTAGTACGCGACGACCCATGATCTTAAGATTGTCTTAAGATACGTCATAGTAATATTATTATTATAAGGAAATATTGTTTAGAGGATTTTATGCTACCATCGCCGACACGACGACGACATGGTGTTTTTTTTTCATGTCCTGATCGATTTTTTAAAAACAAATCGTTGTATACGTTAACTCGTCACCGGTCTTGTGCAAGTACTTTTGGAAATATATACACACAAGGTTAGGTTAAGTAGGTTAGGTTAGGTTAGGTTTACATACAAGTCTGCGCGGGGAGGCCGTAAAGTCACGGAAAATATTGTCACGGGCCGTACGAATTCGGAATCTAAAAAATAAAATATTATCATTTTTATTGAAACTAATTTTTCATTTAATAAATGATTAATATTATAATATCTGAAGCACTGAATAAAAATAGCAAAAATAAGAACAATACATTTTTTAATTTATATTGAAATTCAACATCAACATTTAATTTATTATTTTATAATTTATAGAAGTATAATATAAGTATTCGCTCCACTCTAAAAAAGTTAAAACTATAGATTTTGCTATATTTTTTAAAATTAATACTACATAATGAATAATAAAATTATTTTAAAATTTTTAATTATGATCATTTAGTAGGATGAACTGTTGGTTAGCCATCTAAAAAAAAATCAATTTATGGATTTAAATATATGGATCAAAAAAATATGAATGTATTATTAACTTATCTATTAAATATGTCACGACACCATGGCCGGCGTAGCCGGGCACCCCCCTCAGAACCGCTGTGTACTGACATATAACATACTACGTTTGAACAAATTTTGTTTCACAAAGGTAAACCATAACAGACATTTAGCCGACTAACCTCTAGACATCTTTATCTGTATCTCTAGTTTTAAAAATAATAGTTGTCTCAAAAGTCCGGGGGAATGTAAATATACTCTGTACTTATATGTACAATTAGTCCCATGAAATAGTACAAACAAGTCGTAGTTCGTACATTTATGTTGTCACAACTTTTGTGTAAAGCGTATACCATAGGTTATATATAAGTCTATAAGTTAAGTTTATATATGTTAAAATAGAAAGTATTCCAAAAAATAAAAAGCGATTAGCCAAAATGAAAAAAAAATAAAGGATATATTAAATCACTCCTCAAATGGAAAAATTGTTCAAACTCGGTAATTTTAAACAAATATCAATTACTATTATTTTTAACTATAACTTGACTTCTATTATAGGTACATTCACCTTTAAGAAATTAATAGTTTTTTGCATTTCACTGTTTTGGGTGTAATTTTTGGGCTTTAAACCTGACAATTAACCGAGGCGATTTTGAATTTAGATTCTATTATTTTAATGTTATAGGCCCTATAATATAGGGTAATGATACTGCCGAATTATTTACGGCGATAATAAGTCCGAAAATAATGTCACTGAACGTGTTTTAGCTGACACTTCTGTGCCGGATGCACTGTATCGGAAAAACGACAAAAGGTCGCCCGACAAAACGCCGCCGGACAAAAAATCGACAAAACGCCGCCGGACAAATCGCCGCCCCTAAAAAAACCGCCTCTCAGTAATGCCAACACTAACAATACTTGTATACAATATACGATTATTAATGGTGTTAGTTGTGCTGCCAGCATGACATATTATTAAGGAGTAATTATTAGCTAACGACTCAAACGAGGCTGTTTTTAAAAAATATTTCCAGATGGCATTTTGAAAGAGACAAAAAGTCCGAACGTATATTTTTCACCACCAAAAAAACGATATTTTATTATCTCTAGAAAACTGTTTACCTATTATTGAACTGTTATCTTTGTTTATTTTATAAATACGTGTAGGTATCACCTATAATCTATATATTTTTTAGTACGTATTGCAAAGTGTATAGGTACAAAATGGAAGTTAATGTTTTAAAGTTGCCGCGCCGGTTGAATTACCTGCCAAATATACCTTCTTAGGGACGAAAGTATACGCAGCCCTGTTTTACTTCGTATATTTGTTATTCTTTATTAGTATTAAGTAAAATTATATTATTATTTATTAAAAAATGGTCTTAACAATGGCGGTTCTAAAAAAAAATATGAAATAACATTTAACCACTTTTTGTATCCATTGCATTTTTTTTTATAAATATATTCATTTAAAAGTATTCTTATTTTTGCGTATATATTAGTTTTAAAATTTTAACATAAGAACATTGAGAAAATTAAAAAGTAAGGGGAAAAAATGACTAATTAGTTCTTGTGCGTGTACATTTTGTTTTTGTAAAGTCAGTCGGCCGAATGGATTTGGGAACAATGACCTCGCTACACCCTTGGCCAGAAATTAAGTTAATTTGTTGTGTGTGAATTTTATTCACAATTGTATTTTGTTTAGTTAACTGTTTGTTGCACCGGTGAGGCAATTCTAGTTTAAGTACTAATGATAACCGAAAAAGGAACTTTTTTAAATTATTAAAGTTTTCAAATTATCAACATTATACATACATTACACAATTGACACTACAGTAACTCTTTGGTATACTAGGCAACCCCATTCATCCCTTTTGAGCTACTGTATACACCATTACACTTCCTTTGCTTTACAGCGTAATCGTTAAAGCTGATAGAATTAAATTCCGATAGTAAATTTACAGTAGTACAGTGGATATAAAAAGTAATATAATATATTTTATTTATTTTGTAAAATATTTCAAGATTATCCTATTATACAAAGAATTATTTTATTGGGAGGCTATAAAAAAGCCGAAAATATTTTAGCCGAAAGTATTTGGTCCGACCATAATTTTACCGAAAATTATTATAGCTGAAAAACATTAACGCCGAAAATAATAGTTCCGAAAATATTTTCATCGAACAATTTTGCCGCCCAGTGCCGATCCACCGGTGACCGGCCACCGCGTCCGCGGTATGTTTATTCTTCTACCTGCAGTGGTACCGTACGGTGACTTGCTTATTCTGGTTTTTTTTTAATTATTTATTTATTTTTTTTTTAATATTTTTATATTTATTAGTTGGGAAAAATTTAATATATTTTTATTCACTCGACTAATCTGTTTTTTCCCTAGTTCGAGCGCATAAAAGATACAATACGTCAATACAAATAATTTGATACCAAAATCTAATTTTCAAAAAAAAATTTACATTGATCTTTTTTCCCGCAGCCCTTTATATTAATATTTATACTATACTATTTATATTCGTTGATAGGCATAATATTTGATTTTTACGAGTATGAATGTTCATTTAAAAAAAAACTCATTTATCATTATACAACACTTCCAAAATTATATGGAGTCGATTCTGGGTCCTCTATATTGATGTCTTGTTCCCTGAGGATTCGGGAGATGTAGTCACTTTTTGATCTGCTAATACCTTCAATATTGATTTGGCAAATGCGTAGGGTAGACCCTAGCTTTCTTAGGTGGCCTGAGAATCTTTCGATTCGATTGTGTTCGGTTTGGTTGCATATTATCAGGCCAGGAGAACGTTATAAATGATAGTTTGGCCACTGAGTTAATAGATCTTTAGCCGTTCGTCTTGAGAAGATGAACGTTGCCCAGGGGGTACCACGAGGAGGCGATCTATCACAATCCCCTATTTTTACAATTTACAATATTTACGCTATTTACACTTATTATTTACAGAATTAATTTTATATACAAAATAATATTTACACAATATGATGTTAGTCAAAAATTCTGACAATCATATAGATGTCAGAATTGCAAATGGGACAACGCCCTCTGCCCCTCACATCCTCACCGCAATCGTGACATAAACATTTGTGCCCACACGGAATGCAAGCATGTGTGTTAGTGGCTGCCAAGCAAATGCCACAACTGTTTATTTGTCGCGGTGTTATATCCTCATTTAAATTAGCCGAAACGAATGGAATATTATCTTGCTCCCTTCTCAAACGTTGTCTTTCCATTTGTCCGATAAACGCGAGAACTTCGTCGTCGTCCTCGGGTATGTGATAGTCATCATTAACTATTAACACAAATAAATAAAAATATAAACGGATTATCAACAATAATATTAATGGTCATAAAAATTATTATTAATATGATATGGACAAAATATATTTTTACAAGGTATCCTTTTTTATTATTTAGGTGTACGAGTCATTTTATTAGTTTTTTTTTTAAATTTAAATATTGCATGTTTAATATTTCCTTTTTCTTATATATAATATAATGTATTGCCATTAAGAAATATGTTGTATACTATTATAATTGTTAACAAATTGTTTTTAATATTTCTGTTCAGAGCCTTACTGAGAAGAATGGCGTTATTATCTTGGACAGCTTGAACAGCCGGAGCAGCCTCAACAACAAAAGCAGCCTCAACTACAGGAGCAGCCTCAACTACAGGATCGGCAGCTTCAACAACGGGAGCATTTTGCTCCTCACCATCTCCCAATTCTAAATTTTAAGTTAAAATAAAACAACTTTATTTATAACCTGTTATATTCCTTATTAAAAAAATTTAGTTATTAAGGTTTTATTTTTAATTGTAGCGTAACGGCCATGAAGGCCCAACGTGCAATCATGAGATGATTTCTTGATGAATTCGCTATCCGGGACGGATCGTCAGTCCGTCGCCTGTGAGGAGGATGGTATTTTACCGGACGGTTGCTCGCCTGGCAGTCTTTATTTAGTACTATTGTCGGTATACCTATGTTATAGGCCAAGTGGCCTGTGTAGGAGAGAAATTCCTTAACAGTAAGGCAGCCTTGCTCCAGCCTTTCAGTCGCCGCTCTTATGTTCTGTCCTGCTGCACATATAGTGGACGACGTAGCCTTAATGTGGGGCGCTCCAACTGCTGTTGATATTTTTGGTTATAAATACCCTCAATTTTCAGGAGTACCTCTGTAATTAAAAAAAAAAAAATTATTTCTATAACTAATTAACTATTTTGTAGCAAGTATTTCGATTTACTTGTAAAATTCCAAATTCCCGGTCTTTGTTGTATTCATTTGTTGGTTTAAAATTCTGTGAAAGACCTCCTGATCATTGTTTGTCCTCCTGGCCTGTCCGTAACGCTAAATTCTGCGCACCGGTTCCTATAGTAAGTATTATACAATGAGATAATAAAAGAAAATTTTTTGTAAAAAATAATATTTTTTTGCTTAGTTTTTTTTAACCCCAGAGCATTTCATATACATAAAAATAAATTCAGTATTTTGGAGTCGAGAGCGTTTTAAAAGTTTATAGCTGTGATTGCCGGAGAGATGGCGGCTTCTTTTAACCAAACGATTTTTTGCCCGGCAACAGTGAGTGCCAAACACACTAATGCCTTACCCACTCTGCCATTTCCTCTCCACTATGTACAAAGGTAAATTAATTATTTTTTAAATAACTATTTTCTCATTTTTGAGGATATATTAGGTATTTTTTGTAATAATTAACTATTTATTATTATCAAGCATCTTTATTTCATATAGATGTACGCATTTCACTTTTATGTTAGTATTGAGAGAAAATCAAACAAAATCAAATTGTTTTTTTCTTTTGTTAGTATTACAACTGGGGGAGGGGGAGGCTTCTGTACAATAATTATGAATCTTATTAATTTAGGTAAATTTAATGAATATTATATCCATAATAATACAAAGTGATTTGAAAAACTGTTTTCTAAGGTTTGCAGTACTAAACACTTACGGTTCATCCACTGGTTCTCGAAGTAATTAATATATCGACGAGCTATTTGTTCGTTTACCGCGTGACTTCTCTCTTCTTTGATCAGGTTAAAACCCTCGGCTATGTGCTCGACCGGTAAAAGGGCCAGAGCCTTCGACATGCGGAACATGTTATGCAATGCCAAGTCGTTACGATATTCACGTCGCCGCATGCCAAACTCTTTACCTTTTTTCTAAAGTGCCTAAAAATTACCATAAACATTTTAAAATGGCAACACACGATGCTATATTTTATAGCACCGGAAATGATGACAGAATTATTAAAAACATTTTTCATACTTGCACCATGTGGAACCAACAGCGCTGCAGGTTGGCAGCTGGCAGAGTATTCCTCAGTGCATTGGTTAATGCGGTTTCATAGTCAGTAATGATGTTTGCTGCTTGAATACCGCCTGGAATAAGATCCCTTACGTATTCAAGCACGCACCGGTACGCGATCTCGGTCTTCCTTGTCATCAACACAAATGCAACCGGAAAAGCCTAAGTAAACGTATAAATAAAAATGTTAATCGTAAACTCATAAAAATCGTTTTTTAAATTTATTATATATTTTCTATTACCTGATCCATGTAAATGGCCATAATAATTAAAACTTGTTCAGTTTGAGGCTGAATAGGCCTCGATTTGAACGTGCCATCTACATGTAATTCATGTGAACTGCCTAATAAACTAAAATTACATTTAAGCTATAATATTGTCTATAAAAAAAATCATCTAGGTAAGCAATTATATATTCTAATTTGTGAAGATTGGTATTAAAACTATTTGCTATTGGACTGATATTAAATATGCTGCTGTACTTGTCCACAAAATATTACAAGCAGCTATCTAAGCGTACAGTAGTGTGCTAGGCCAAGTTTCAGTAATGCCAGTTTATCTTTAAACGAACCAATTCACCCAGTTTTTCTAACTCACATGTCTCTAATTCCTCTTAGATAAGCTTTTGAAATGTAAATATCACTACTTTGATATTTAGTCTTGGAACTTAACCAATTTTCTCTGTTAGGTTTTTGTTGGAGATAATTCATAATAGTTAATTGAAAGAAATTATTTTATACAAATTTTAATCGTTTTTCTTTAAAATAAGTTATATATTTTTTTTAAATACTTAAGAAATATGTTTTTGGGATCAAAGGCAATGTTTTCGTTGTAACACATATTTTTTCATTGTTAATTAAATGATTACTTCATCATTGCAGGCGAAATGAAAACCACTGCTTCGCCAGCTTCTACACCTCCATCTATGTAGCCCCTATACAACTCCTCGTTGCTAGACGTTAAAAATAGATGACGGTACCTCGGGTCGGACAAATTGCCCGCATATCCCAAGAGAGTCTGGGGTATCGATGGCTGAGTCTCGGCCCTGGCCCGTTCCATAGTTCGCAAGAAGCTGGTGTACGTCAATTGAGTGTTAACATGGTTTAATCTAAGTTTAGAATATGTAAGTCTTGAACTACTAAATAATTATGCTTATGCTGAGGTGATTGATTTGAGAACTTAATTTTAATATTAAGTGTTCTTATATTTAAAAACGGTAGGACTTTCATTAAGTATTAAATACCTTCTGTTCAATAATAATAAAACAAATTTTGTTTTATTATTATTGAACAGAAAGGCTTACGAAATACGTTTATAGGTATACAGTTATTTAGTGTTCTATGAAAATATACTAATAAGATGTATAAAATAACTTTTTAATATGCATTTTAATGACCACAAGCGTTTGCGGGCTTCAATTACAGGGGAGGCAATATATAATGTTATTTTTAAATGTAGTGACATCGGCCCAGTGCAACAATGAATACATGCATGTACGTTCGGTTGCCTATCTCTTTTAGTTACATAGTTACATACAAACATACATACATACAAGTGAAGCTAATATAAGCGTGTTAAAAAAACCTTGTCTTTTTAGTAGTTTGTAAATAATTAATAATGGTAGTTTAAAACACTTACAACATGCTTAAATTAACCTACTTCTATTAAATTAAGAGGAATATACGGACATTTTTAAATGAACGTAGTTTACAGCATGACTTAGTTTTTAAAAGTGTACTAAGACGTACACCTATTTTATCAATTTACTGATTCAACATATACTTAAATTATAATTAACTACGCAATTATTTACGCCTATTTAGGTTAAACAATTTTTTACGCTCGCTAGATTTTTTAATTACAAATATATATTATGTAAATAACTTATGGATAAACCAAACGATCACAGATCACTATGCAATAAAATAGGTTGAAGTGAGGCAGCTCAGCTGCCACAGTTGCCTCCGCCTGTGTTTGTGAGACATCAAGTTTTAAATACAATTAATCAGCTCAGTTTAAATAATGTAATAAATAATGCCGTCATTGATATTAATTTTTAAATTATTATTAAAGGTAGGTATTACTGTGTTATTTCTTCATCATAAATGACTTTAAGACTGGTCAATTCTGTTGAACAACGATGAAGAATTTGGCTTTTTACACGTACAACGGACAAATATTCCATATCAGGATCATGATTATGAAGTCCGATCACCTCAAATCTATCATTCCTGATAAGTCCTTTATAACATAAAAAAAATTACAATATCGTGTTAAGAAGAGTTTAATGTTATAAACTGTTTTCAGCCTTAAGAGGATTAAAAGCGAACTGGTTTTTTCGAAGTTTTAGACCTAAGATCCTGACAAAATTACGCCTACGTAGAATGTCCAATTTGAATTTTATATAAAAATGTCAAGTTAATCGTCCTCTTTTCAAGGTTATTGTGTAAATAATTTTATATTTCAATTAAAATTGTGTTTAAATCCTATTTTAATTTCTTAAGTTTTTAGTATCCTTTATATTGTTTTATTAATCCGACTTCCACGGTAACCTAGGAAAAAAGCTCATGAGCCCAAATATTTATACAGAATTAAAATTCAATCATATTAAGTAGGCATAGTTTTGTCAAGATTTTAGGTCTTAAGGGGGGATTACATGCGGTCAATTTTTTCAGTCAAAACATCATTTTTATTCAATTGCATAAGCCAACACGGTGATCCGATAAACAATCTAAAAACAGATTTGAATTCGTCATGAAGTTTACTTAGGATCGTTCAGGGCACACTTTCGGTTTTTAATTTAAACCCTTTACCTTTACCCTTTTAAAATTTGAAATTTTTTATAATATTCAAACGGGTTTTGTACATAGTAGGAATAAGATTTTAAAAAAGTGCCCTGACCGATGAAGTAAACTTCATGGCAAATTCAAATATATTTTCAGATAAATTATCGGATCACTGGTTCAGCCTGTGCGATGGAACAAAATATGTATACTATATTAACTAAAATGGCTTTACTCATAGACAAAATGATTTAAATTAAAAATAACACCATGAAGCTTATACAAATTAACCGGTAAATTAATTGACATGGTAAAAATTTATTAAAACCATTTTTCCTAAATATTGCCTATACAAAATTCCTTTAAAATCGACCGTATGCAATTCCCTTAATTAATTTCTTGTACGTACAAAATGGCATTTACTCGGAGAATAAATTGTAAAAGTTAAAAATGATGCCTCTAGCTTTTACAAAGTAACCTGTAACTAAATAAAATGTTCGAAAAGTTGCTTTTTTCTTAAATATTGCCTTTTATAAAACCCCTTAAAAACCGTCCGCTTTCAATCCCTTTAATCATTGTTATGTTTTATACCAAATCGGATTATAAAAAATTATTATGAATATAAATACTAATTGCCACAAAATATTCATGATAGTTAACCCATTGATCAATTTTTGTAAATTATCATATTAAAATCTATAAATTGTGTACTAGGGCAACTCATGGTGCTGGCCTTTTTTCTTTGAAAAATAGTGTTATTTTCTAAAAAAAATCAAATAAAACGGTTTTTATTTCAAGCCTTTTAAAAGATATTTTTCTAATTAAGTGGAGTATTACCTAATTAAAAAAAATCTTCTGTTGAGTTATACTTAAATGGTACACTGCTTTATTGTGTATTCGTAAAATAAGTACGATTACGTCTAACTACTAATTGCTTCAGTTTTCCATTTACAATCGGGTTACAAATAATTCATATTGAGAAAAAAGATTAATTTTCTAAAATAATATATAGCAATAAATCATACCTCTCGCAGTGCAGTTGGGTTTTATACAACTTAGTGAGGTAGACGATAGCCTCACTTTCTTTACGCGGTAAAAAAAGCCATCATTACTATGATGTAGCTTACTATTTTTACGAAATCCGTCGACAACTTCGTATTCCATTTTTAACCAACGAAAAGTACAAGAAAAAAAGGACAGATGTGTTGTCTGAGCTCTCGATAAAAACCGAATGAACCCAATGTAAGTATGAACTTGGTTGGTTGGTACTTTTTTTATTTTTTATTTATATATATATATATATATATATATATATATATATATATATATATATATATATATAAAAGTAGGTATGTATGTTACACAATCTTTAAACATTAAAACACAAAATGTTAACAAATGGCTAACCAAACACCTTCACTCAATGGCACCTCATTATGAAGCGGAAGAACTATCAATAATTTTAAATGCTTTAACATTTACAACCATATATGGACTACAGAAAAAAGATATTTTACATGAGTTTATCACATATTAACATAATTAACCTTGAAGATATTGTTTGTCCTCGCATAGATCAATTACACTCTGATGATGGATACCCAACGTGTTTATTTCACATGAATTTAAGCCCTAAACAACACTGTACTTTTTATAAAATGTTTACATTACGCAATTGGTTTTAAACATTGCATTACCTTGTATATTATTATCAATGTATTTTAGTTAAATAAAAAACATTTTTTTTTGTTTAGCAATTAGTACTGTATTTATTAACATTACGGTTATTGTATATTATTATACACACATTATCAAGAATAATATGATTTTAACCAGATGGTTTTACATAACATTTTTTTTTACATTAGATATTATAACAATTTTTATAAAAAAAAAAATTATAATGTTAACTTTGAAGTTATTACAATTCAATGGGGTGGAGTTTGTATTTAAATGGCTTTTATTCATCTATTTACACCACATCACATCAGAAGTGGGAGGGTTCGCCTGCGCAAAACTGAAGGTGTGGTGCAATAGGTACGACAATACAAAAATGCTTAAAGGGACAAAAAAAAGAATACATGTATATTGTAGTATGATATTGGCAGTAATGCCCTTCAAACGGCAGTGTTGGGCGTAACCGA